TAACATTGACACTCTTTAATCTCGTTACTAACATGTCCTTTTACGATTGAGTCTTATCATTTAAGATGTTGCGTTTTGGTTTAAATATTTCGTGGCTTGAAGTTATTGACTGGTTGCGATACATCCACTCACACTCTAGCCTTTGTATATTGTTGTTTACAAACAGATAAAAACCAATAATCGTTGATACTTAAAACAATAATAGTAATTAAATTTAAAGTGTGTCACAAATAATTAGGAGAACTCAGTTGATTGGATTACTGGGAATCACGATAGGAAGGAGTTTTACTTCACATGAATAAATAGTGGGAATAAGGTTAAAGTTATATTTTTAAAAGTTTTAAATTTTTTTATTTAAAATTATTTTTTTATATTTTTTAGATTATTTTGATATATCAATATTAAAAAAAAATTAAAATTTAATTTGACATATATATTTTTCTTAATTGATATTAAAAAAAATAAACTTTAATTTGACATATATATTTTTCTTAATTACTTTAGATATGTTTCCTTATATTTAGAATTATATGTTTACACTAAAGAATCCGAGTTTTTCTCCTACATATTGGTGAGGATAATAAACCTAATTGGGTGTCTTTTTAAACTCGTGCTTGACTTCAAATTCTTCTTTCTCAGAAATCATATTGCTATTTAGCATATAAAATTATCGGTAACTATATATAGTAATACCTTTTGCACTAATTAACAGATTTGCATAGTTTTACTGATAATTCATAATTGAATTAGTTAATATTAGAAATATTGAGGATAATTAGGGATTTCCTTTTAGTTTCCGGTCATTAATTGTTGGGTCTGGTTTTGATAAGCATGCCCTAAATAAAGCCAGAGGATTATATAAGCGAACCATCCCCGTAAAAGATGATCTAAAGGTAATAATAGCATCTAAAATTACAATTGTCAGAAAATTAATTACATTTTGAGTAAAGTTAAGAAGAATATTCACATTAGAATTTATTTCTATTTTCTCCCTTCTAAACAATAAAATCCAAAAAAAGGGGGAGACGCTTTGTCAGGGAAAAATAGAGAAAAGGAGAGCCGTAGAAGACAAGGTAGGTACGTAAGAAAGGCCAGGAAAAGGACAATAAAATACTCACTCTATGATGCGCGAAGGACCGGGAGAGAAGACTGGTAGAGAAGCATTCATGAAGGTTAGGCAGACATAATAATAGACTAACACAAAGATGAGAAAACCATCTGTAACAACACCACCAAAAAAATCCCAAACAGCCAGCAGTGAAAGAAAGGTAATGCCAAACTGAAAAAAAAAAACTGGTTTTGTTGTATATCAAGAGAAATTCAAACTGATCTAGAAAGAAAAAGGTCAGATACCCCTTCTCTTAATTTCTATGTGAATTCTAACTAATATTGCAAGGGAAGTAGGGCTGCAAATAAGAAAGAGAGAGACAGGAAGATGTCGGCATCCTCCACTTGGGTTTTTATTTTGCATGGTGAACCAATTATAAAAGGAGAATAGAGATAGCATAAAGTCATCCCATTTGAGTGTTTTTGCTGCTTGGAGGGATATTTTGCTGGGAGGAGATATTTCGAAATGGTTTGGTACCAGAAGAAGCAAATTCTAGAGGATTTGGTGTTTGTGGGAGGGTTGGTGTTGGTGCAATTTGTGTATGCAGGGAACTCGATTTTGTTGAGCTATCTCATGTCACTTGGCCTTGACCCTCTAACTATTGTTATCTTCTCTACTTTTGCCACCTTCCTTATAATCTCCCCCCTTGCCGTCTATTTTGAAAGGTCTCTCTCCCTCTCTGAGTATCTCTCTATCATCTGTCTTTTTTTTGTAAACATGTGTGTATCTGGGAAGTTGATGGTTGATGTTCATGTTGCAGGAGCAAATTGCCGAAGGAATTCAGTTTGAAGTTGCTGATTCGGCTGGTTTTAATTTCTTTTGGAGGGTAAGGCAATGATTAGGATATCCAATAAGTTTTTGAGATTTCACTTCATCAATTGCAATATTTACAAGCAGTACTGAATGTTAAAGTTAGAGAGCTATATATATATACTGCCTGCAAAACTCAATCTTCTTAGCCCTCTGTTCTGTTCATTTATTCGTTCAAAAATGTTCTCTTAATTGGTAAGCCTTTGTTGTCAATAATATATATATATATATATATATATTGAACAAAACACGTTGTATGCCCACATCAGAAAATTTGTCGACATGAATATCCACTTGCGAGTCAATCACGACCACAGCCACTCATGAGTCACTTACTATCACTTTCGGATGATGATGAGAGATATTGATCTTTCAAGAGCTATGGGTGTCTGAATCCTAACATGATTTGTTTTATATATATATATATATATAGATATGTATCCATTGTCATTTCATCCATGGATTTATCTATTGTTTGTAGATATTGTTACTTTTTTTCTATGACTGTGACCAAAAAGCCTGGACACTGGACAGTGATTCATGGAGCATGCACTCAAGTGGTTTTCTTTATTTATTTCATTTTCAGGGTTACTTTGTTTCAGTCCTTATTCCTTAAGGGGATAAAGCTAACTTCACCAGCAATGGCAACAGCCATGCCGAACCTTGCTCCAGGGATTATTTTCACTATTGCTTGGACATTGAGGTATCCCTTTTGTAATATTTCAATTTAGAAATTTTCTTTCTAGCCAAACATAATTAATTAGCTAAAGAATTTGGTCTCGCTCCAGTCTAATTGAGTAATAACCATCATTTGTTTATGGACTGGAAAAATTCAAATGGGCTTTCATATTCCATCTCTTAAAAAAGAAAAGAAAAGAAAAGAAAAAAGGGCTTCATATTTAAATGCACGGAGAAATCAGAAAACAAACATGGTCAACGAGTTATTATTGCTCAAGGAGCCCAATGCTCTTAGCAATTTGATCTGCAGCTCTCGAATTTGAGCCTTTGTGTAGAACCGGCCAGGGTTAAAAAGACAAGGAGAAAAGAATAAGTGCATTAGCTAAGCATTTGGTAACCCTTCCTCTCAATACGTTTTCGTCTACAGTCCAGTGATTGATAATTTGACTGCCTAAGTGCAGGTTAGAGAGAGTTAAGCTAAGTTGCATAAATGCTCTTAGCAATTTGATCTGCAGCTCTCGAATTTGAGCCTTTGTGTAGAACCGGCCAGGGTTAAAAAGACAAGGAGAAAAGAATAAGTGCATTAGCTAAGCATTTGGTAACCCTTCCTCTCAATACGTTTTCGTCTACAGTCCAGTGATTGATAATTTGACTGCCTAAGTGCAGGTTAGAGAGAGTTAAGCTAAGTTGCATATACAGCAAAGTCAAGATTGGAGGCACATTATTATGTGTTGTAGGTGCCCTCATAATGAGTCTAATGAGCAGCACTGGAACAGCTAAAAAGTTCTCAAGTAATCCTCGATCCCCGGCAGATATGTTCGACGTGCATAAGATTATCGGTTGCTTGTATCTCATGGCAGCAGTTTTTGTTCTTGCAAGCAATGTTGTATTGCAGGTGATGTGTTAGATCAATATAATGTAGGAATTAATTACGTAAATACTTTTCTCTGCGTTATTTTAATTTCCCACATTGAGTTTTGCAATGTGTTACAGGCTACTACTTTGGTTGATTTTCCTGCTCCTATGTCCCTGTGTGCCATAACATCATTGATAGGTGTGGTTATAACTGCAACTGTGCAGTTGATTCAAAACCACAAATTAGACTTTGGCTGGCCCCTTGTGAGACTTGGGGACCTCATTTGCTATTCTGTACTGGTAATTTCACATCATTCTCCCTCTTTCAACATTGATTGCATGTATAGATTTTTTGCTCGTTTCCGTTTTAGTGATTAGAGCCACTTTCTTCTACTCTATGCGCGCTTCCTTGGAACCAGTAATTAATAAGAAAATGTACCTTGTGTCTTGAAAATATCCTGAGGTTTATCAATCTTTTTTACGAACCTGCTATGATTTGGATGCACAGGGAGGTGCTATTGGTGGAGTATGTGTGAGCTTCAATGGATGGGCAATGAAGAAGAGGGGTCCAGTTCTTGTGTCCATGTTTAGCCCCATTGCAACAGTTATCTCAGTTGTTTTTTCTGTTATTGCCTTTGGCGACAGGATTAACCTAGGAAGGTATTGCTAGCCAGAATCAGTCGCTAATTAGAACAAGCGCACCCAATATATACTGCGGTCACCGTGTTCCTTTTCAGTGTCCTTACTGTCTGCGTTCTCTTTTGCAGCCTCGGGGGTATGTTCCTCATGTTCAGTGGTCTATACTTCGTGCTTTGGGCTAAAAGCAAAGAAGTTTTCCCTTATGATGATCACCTGGAAAGTGAGTCTGATCCACAGAAGCCTCTCTTGGCATAATAATTAGTGTCAGTACTCAGATATAGAATATTGCCCTAATTTGTTTCAGCAGCAGCCGTTATGTAAGAGTGTGTGTGTGTGTGTGTGTGTGTACAATGGAAACGCTAGCTTAATCATAGTTGCCAAGTTTACTAGAATAACTTTCGAACGTGTACATATTGCTCTAAGATACTGAAAATTGAATAACTAGTGGCATCAACACAGGTATATGATGAAAGAATAAAATCCATAAAACTTGCGTTGTTCTAGATGTTGGGCACCACTTTATTATTTCATGCTTTAATTGATCTAGGAAACAAATAAAATTGTTAAGTTTAGAAGAAATCTTCGTAAGAAAACTTGTTTGATCTCTTAAACAACTACTCTGCACACCAGGAGTATGATTCTCTCCCCTTATCTGAGCTCCGGAAGTTGTAATCTTAACAGCCAAGTTACCCCATTGAGGACTCTGTAAGGTATGGTTTCTCCTCCTTCATAGGCTTAGCAATGGATGGCCTATCTAAAAGATCGATAACGCGTAGAAAACTTTTGTGTAATTTGTAGTTTGCTTGGGATTGTTTTTTAAAGTATTTTTTATTTAAAAATATATTAAAATAATATTTTTTATATTAGTGCATTAAAATAATTTAAAAAAATTAAAAAATTCAATTTTTAAAAAAATATTTTTAAAATATAAAAATAAATAGTACTAAATCATTTTCCTAAACAGGATGGAATATATATTAAAGTTGTAAACTATGCTTAATACTTTGATTAGGCAAGTATGGTGTTTGGTGACTAGCTTTCTCAAAAAACAACAATGATATAGCACTTGATTTTGAAGTCTTGTTTGGCCTCTTACATTGCTTGACTAAATAATTTTCCTAAACAGGATGGAATATATATTAAGGTTGTAAACTATGCTTAATACTTTGATTAGGCAAGTATGGTGTTTGGTGACTAGCTTTCTCAAAAAACAACAATGATATAGCACTTGATTTTGAAGTCTTGTTTGGCCTCTTACATTGCTTGAACTGCCAAATTTAGTCCGCAATCTTACCGTGTGGAAAATTACAGTTTATTTCAAGGCATGCGGCCATCACCGGGATTCATCGATTACTTTCCATAATAACTTGCCATTGGGGTGTTTACTTGTGGATAAATTACAATAAAATAAGATTATAGAGAGTTTAAGATGAATTTTGATTAAAAAGAGTCTCCATTTAAACAACATTTATTGTATAATAAAACCTTTTTTAAACCCAAAATCTTAATTTCGAATATAGGTAAATTAAGGCATAGAAATTTAAAGAAAGCATATATATAACAATAATAATTTCACTAATGATTGGATCAATTTTGTTTTGATTTTCTCTTGTAATATTCTTTCTCTTATTCTTAAATTCTCTTAATTTAGCTTTTTTTTCTCTAAACAATAATTAATATATCCTTTATTTTTAGATTGTGTTTTTAATTTCACAATATGATTATTATGATATATCCTTTATTTTTTTTTTTCTGTTTCTATTTTTTGTAAACATGCATAAACTGTATATCTTGAAGAAGTAAAAATTCTCTTAATCGAGCAATAAAGAAAATATTGTCGGGTTCTTACATTTGCTACGGTCCGAATTCCCTGCCGTTAACATTTTTTTTCCTAAAATAGAAAGCAAGAAAAAAAAAACAGGGAAGCCGAGATCATCATCGAGTTTAGGTGGCAATGAATCACGGGCAGCCCACTTCGGCAGCCAGAGGACCTCATCTATAAAGGCAGCTAGGGTTTTTTAATTCCCGTGCTAATACTTCCAAACGAAGGAAAAAAAAAAAGATAATAGTATATTGATTGTTAATTTAATCTGTTTTTAAAATTATTTTTTTAGATAATTTTTATGGTTTTAATGTAATGATATTAAAATACAAAAATTATATTTTTAATACATTATTAATTAAAAAATATTATGTGCAAACACAACAAAATAAAGTTACTAGAAAAGGCCGAAATCAAAATAATAAAAATGAAGATTCTATGCTTGTTTGATTCTGCCGGCCCCCATCAATGCCCCTTTCAACCTTGGTGTGATTTCAGATTTTCTTTTTCTTTTTCTTTTTTAATTCATTTGCCTTTGCCATTCTTGTGTACCTTTCTCACCATGAAAATTGTTGCTCTCTTTTAACACACACTAAAAGGTAGATAAGCAGTTTTTTGCATGAATTTGATAGGATAGAGGTAACTGGCCGTTTCTTTTGACTCCTGTTCTTGTGTTGTTCTTGGCATCAAATTTGTTAAGGGCGCAAGAACAATCACTTCATGTTTCAAGTGTTTAAATGGGTTGGAGTTGAATTATTCAAGTTTTAAATTTAGTTTCGAGAGGTTACTAGATTAACTAATATAAATTTTAAGATTATTAAAAATATATATAGTTATTAATTTTATGATTTATAAATTTAATTAAGATACATGCAAGTTAATCCAAATATTTATATTAATTAAAAAAACCAAAACTCTTTTATTTTATTTTCAGTTCCAACCATTGAAGTGAGATGACTAATTCAACAAAAGAGGGCTACGGGCCTTCTTCTTCTTCTTTTTTTTCTTATGCCCACATCCCATAAAATCTTGAAATATTTTGGCTTTAGACGTCAGTCAAATTTTGTAAAAGAAACTTCCCAAGTCGCAATGGTTCCTCATAAAAACATTCTGTAGCTGCTCTTATAATTTGTTGACTGGTTAAAGCTCTTTTTCTATTGACCTGTATCCTTCTAGACTTTTATTTTCCTCTAACATGAGTGCAGAATTTTAAAGAAACAATTTTCAATATCATGGGATGTTTACGTGTTCAGATATAGAGAACAGTTTTATTTTTTACAAAATTACTAGTTTATTAGGTTGTGTTAGGCTATAATTCAGATTAAAAAAATAAATATTGGAAAAAGTATTTGGGGTATAAAAATTATTTTACATTATTATTAAACTTTACCTAACATATCAATTTTGAAATTTTCTAACCTAATTTTTTATTTAGTTTAGGTTTAAAATAAATTAGTGTAAAAGTTGTTTTGAAATGTCCAAGTTAGTTTGACGGTCCGAAAAAAATTCAAATGATTGATAAAAAATATAGATTGACTATAAAAAAAATATTTAAAATGATATTTTTTTAATATTAAACTAAAAACATATTACATCAACCTAAGTTTTATAGCTAAAGTATCAAAACCCACAACCAAAATTATGGGCTCTATTGGATTTAAAAACTCTTTTAAAATTATTCTTTACTTAATAATATGGTAAAAAAGGATAAATATTTGTAAAATTGAACATCAATCAAGTATCGATATGTTTGTTGCATACTATGCTAATCTTATAAAAAAACTAAAACGAATTATGAAAATCAATTCATAATGAATTAAATATTAAAAGAAGAAATTGAAAAAAAAAGGATTCAATTGAAAAAAAATTAAGAGATGGATTTTTGTTGAAAAAAGGTTAAACTTAACAAGTCAACCTTGAAACCTCTCAACTTGATTCCTTATATAATTTGAGTTTAAAATTAATTAGTATGCAAGTTGTTCCAACATGATCTTATCGACTGAATGGATCTAAAAACTACCTGGAAAACTAGTATAAAATATAGTTTGACTTTAAACAAATTCAAAATAATATTTTTTATAATATCAAAAAGATGATATATTAAATTAACTTAGACTTCATTATCTAATTCATTGTACTCGTAACCTGTATGGACTTTTTTAGTTTTATGAATTTAATTTTTTAACTAATTTTTACTTAATAATAATAATAATAAATACTCATAAAATTAAACTTTTAGTTATTTAATATTACTGTAACCTTGTAAAAAAACATATTTTATACTCCGAATCATAGTGATGTACTAAACTTTACAGTATGGACCTATATTTAGATGTGATAGGTGATATAATATATTTTTTTTATTTACGTGGGGTGTCCGGGCCAGCTTACACGCACCACGACTAATCTCCAAGGCCCACTGAACATCCTGAAAGCCTAGTGAGCAAGTAAGGCACTGCGAGGGTGACAAACATACAAGGTAAGGCTCGAATCCAGGTGCGGAAGAAGGGGACAAGCCCCTTTATACAAGGTAAGGCTCGAACCCATGTGCGGAAGAAGGGGACAAGCCCCTTCCACCGCTAAGCTAGAACCTTACTTGCAATTTTATACTTTGGATGTAGTCATCCTCTCTATACAATTTCTATGCTAAATCTTACTTGCAATTTTATACTTTGGATGCATTCATCCTCTCTATACAATTTCTATGCTAAAATGAAAGTTAAAGAGTATGCTAAAAATGAAATAACTAATTTATAATTAAATTAAAAATCATAATCTAAACAGTAAAAATAATTCAAAGAAAATACATAAAATCTTTAACAGTAACATGTGATTTTATTTGAAGGCATTAATTACCGACTTAGAAAAGAAAACAGGACCTTTAAAAAAAATTATCAAGCTTGCGTGTGTGTTTGACATGTACAATCTTCTTATTGATCTACGGCGGTTATTATGAGCCACGTGTCAACTTGTACATGTACATATATATTCACTGAAAATATCTCGTTACAAGGACCATCTTAAACCAATTGTTACTACTGGGCAAATCAAAGTCCTAACCTAACTCGAGATCCAAATTAAAGAAAGAAGAGATTGTTGGTGGCTTGGATGGTGCGGATGATCATAACGAGAGGCTCGTGGTTGATGGAGCCTAGCCCTAGCTAGGGATGATGATGCAATTAAAACTCAATAAATACCAACATGAACCGATAATTATTAACTTTATTTAATGAATAATAGATATGGTATAGATATTATTAAATATATCCGATTCAAATCTAATTGAATATATTTTATTTTTTATTAAATAATAAATAAAAGTGTGTGTGTTCAAAACCTAATTAATTAATAAATAAATAGTGGATAGAATATAAATATATTTAAAAAAAAACCAATACTCGTGAGCTTCCTTCCTCATCTCTAGCAGTAGGAAACCTTAACCGTTCTTTGAGATAGGATGGTAGGACCAATGAAAGAGAATTGCGATCCAATATGGGAAACAAACCAGGTGTTGGTTTCCGATTGATGGAACGTCACGTACGCAAAAAGTCTTTTTTAAGCTGCCTCATCATTAATATAACATGCCATTCACCTCCGACTGCACGTATTCGGTAGACTGCCTCCAAGCACCTAGCAAACCCGGTTCCTTCTTTCTTTTTCTTTTTTTTTCATGAATGGGCCAAAATCCTAGTTCTTTTAAATTTTAAAAATATTTTTTAAAATTATTAAAATTATTTTTTAAATTTTTATTTTGAATTAATTTTTTTAATATTTTCATGTTATTTTAATGTGCTGATATTAAAAAAAACTTTTAAAAAATAAAAAATATTTTAATATATTTTTGAATTAAAAATACTTTAAAAATAACTATAACTATATTCTAAAAAAAACTAAAAACATTCTAAGCACGTTGTTGTGTCATGAGGCCCAACACCAACATTAACACATGTACAACATATATATATATATATATATATATAGCTTCTATATTATTCAATTTTTTTGTTATATAAATTCTGTTTTGAAGATAGTTTGTATCTTTTTCATATTTACTATGTTATATCAATATAAATATTAGTTTTAACACAATCTCTATTATATTAAATACAAACAGGTTATTATTTATTCTTAATCTTAATACACTTTTAAAGATCTTAAAATATTAATTTTTAAAACCATACAATTCATGTTTTTAAGTTAATATTTGAAATTCTTTCTCACTCTGAATTGTTTTTAGTTCGTAATTAATATAAAACAGTGTTATATTTTAATTTTAATAATTAAATATTTTTTAAAAAAATGATCACACAACAAGAGAGTAAACGACTGGTGTGTATGTGTTAAAACCTCATGCAAGTTTTCAAGTGTTGCTTTGAAGATTTAATTTGATTCTATGATATATATGATAATATTTATTTTTTATTTACTGATAATTTAATTATTTTTTGTTAGGACACGATTATTAAATTATTAAACCAATA